AGTGGTCGTATTTGGCACCATTCTGAAATACGCTTATTCATTGACTCACTTTACTTTCGCTTTACTCTGTACAGATATTGTCGATGTTCTTACTTGCGCAAATACTCGAATCATTAGCAATGATGCGAAACAGTTTTGCCGGAGCAGTCGTGCGTCTTAACAACCTTGTATGTCGTATCCGTATGCGAGAAGACACATAAGACAAATATTACCTATGTATTATATATGCAGTGAATAGATTATTTTACTTGCGATTTTCTGCTTTGTTGTCTTGCAGCTACAAAAGGTTCCAGTGCTATATGTACTATCTTGGCTTATTATATCTGGAAAATATTATACTGCACAGCTGGTCACTAGCACGGGGACTACAATGGTAGCCTGGGCGGTCTTGGTATTCTTGGTTATGTTCCAAAATTATTAAATATTTGCCAGTGAAGTGACTCCTTTGCTAGGCATAGCAGCAGAAGAGCAGTTTTTTTGGAAACCTTTAAAAGGAACAAGCAGGAGCTTGTGGAAATGTATTAAATTTGTTTTGATTTATGAAGAGTATTTAATTTGTGAATCTTAATGTTTGTGAATTTTTTGTTTTGTTTGCATTGAATCTGTGAAGAAAATCTTAAAGAAAACAAATCTGTGGGGCAGCGTTTGACCTAGAAAGCTTTTAAAGATTATACAATATCGTTGTCAACACAGGCCCTTACCCGTGCTGCTTCATCCTGTAACTCCTTTTGGTCTGATTTTTGTGGTACCGCACCTCTCGTGCCTCCTCGCGCTACTTTCCAATTTACGCTATTATCGAACATTACGAAGGGCGTGTCGCCAGTATCTGTAATAAAGTGGTGAAGTTAACATGCGAGGACTGGAACAAAACTAAAAATGTCTAGAGCAACCTGGATCGTGCTGCTCCATTTGCGCCAAGACATCGTAAACATAGCAGCTCCCGGGAGCGTAGATGGCGAAGTGACCATTTTCGACACTCACGGTCCAACCTCCTGGATCACCAATGCCTCTGAAAATGAGCATGAATATTTTGGCAGCCTTCCGCAATAGATAATTTCTCCACTTCTTTTGAAAAATGAAAAATAAAAACATGAAACAAATTCGCTTGTAAGAGCACTCAGCTTGAAGTCTAGGAGTCCAAGGAATTAAAAAAAAGAGCATTTCGCACACCTGTTTTGCAAGTATCTCCTAGCAACTTCATCGGCGGTCATCCAGGAATGCACTTCAAACGCCGCCTCATACTGTTCGGCACATTTAAGACGTAAAACAGCGGATTTTTGTTGCTTGAAGCCAGCCTGGAAATTGTTTAAGGAATTCTCTGTGCATCTGAACTTGAGCTTTAAAAGTTTCAAAGTTAGAAACTGAAATCAAAAAGTTGAGGATTACAACTCGTTCTTCCGAAAGAGTTGTGCCAGAAACTGTTGGGAGTTAAAAAACTGTTCCGCGCTTGCGTGTTGAATAAAAAGACCTGTTCGAGAAATGTTGGCGCAAAACGACGACACGTCGATGAATCCTTATTTCGAATGCGGTGTCGCAATAAGCCACCGATCAGTTGACGCGATAAATTTGGCGTTTGCTGTTCAAAATAGCTGGAAATGAGATTATTAACTAGAAGCTGCAGAAACATTCGGAGCTAGCTTCCTTGGATTACCAGGACCTTTGACCCTGGATTACCTTTGGACCTGCTGTGCGTCTTTGACGTATCAGCGGTTCCCGCCTCGACTTGCGCCCTGAACTTGGGACTAGCACGCCATTTTTATGGGTTTTTGCATACATGTAAATTGCAAAAACGCATATTGGGAAGAGGCTGTATGTGTGTGTGTGTCTGTGTGTGTCTGTGTGTTCGCACTTTTTGTCACCCACTTTCAACTTGAGAACCAGAAAAGCTAGA